CATTATACCATGTATGGAGAAAATTAAATGAATGAAATACTCAGAACTCAACATTTCTTACGTTTTACAGTTTGAATCTTAGAAGCTTAATCATCGAACAGTACGATCCATGAAAATTGAGTAGGATTAGAGCAAATAGAGTTTGTAAGCTTAAGGTAATAGGCTTGACTCACTTAGGCAGCTGAGTTGCGCAGAGTAACCGTAAGATGCTGTGTGTGACCTTCAAAATCCTCAAAGGTTTATTTTGAAGGCCAATAAATTATTTTTTTTTATGAAAAATACCCTTTTTAAGAACTACGTGGGAGCAAATAAATAATTGACAAAATATATATTTGGACCAAAATATTAATATTAATTCTATTGTTTTAAGAGAAAATGGAAATAAGAATGCATTTTTCATATATATTCCAAAGCTTGGACTCTATTGACATACGTAAGGTTTATTGAAAAACATATCTCCCAGATAAGTTGAAATTTATCCGTGGTCTAAAATATTGCACAGACAGTTATCATTGATATTAGTAGAAAACGTCTAAATAAATGTTGTCTGTATGAAAGGGTGGATAAGTAAATTAATAAATTAAAAACCAACCTTATTATTTATTTTTCACCCATTTTGTGACCACTGTGATCACACAAAAATCAAATTCTTAAAATACATACTTTAGTATACAAATTAACGATTTATTTAATAAATTAGTAGCCTATCTGGGGATTAGGCCATGGTTCGGTATAGTTTATTTCCATTGTACCCATACATCGAGTAATTTTAAGTGTAATCTTTGCTCAATAGTAACAACTGATGTTTTTCCCTTTGTACTGTATTTTGTAATTTGCTACTATACTGTGGATGGCTTGTTAAACAAATGTTACAACTCTTTTGTTTACTTTTTTCATGATCAACCAACATGGATACTTGGCAACCTATAAGGCCAATGTTAAAAAGTGTTGGCTTTCAATTTCATTTGTTTTCGTAGCTAGATTTTTGTTGGCAGTTTTATCAGCAGTAAACACGTTTTATGTCAGGTATACATTATTTACAACATTTAAAGGAAACCTTCGAAGCCGTTTTCGAGATCATTGCGCTAGCATACATCCAAGAAAACTTTGCTCACATAAGAGTATATGATATGATTGTTGTTGTTATATTTACAAAATAAGAATTTAAACAACAATTTTAACGTGTTCTTATGAAATGAAAAATGAAAATGAAATAAAATTAAATTAAAATGCTTCTTTATTGAGGCGAACTTAGGACCTCATGGTCCTTTCTTACAGTTAACCTCTTAATGAGACTCAACCGTTAAATTATATTCTGACATGCTTCTTGAAGTGAAAGCGTTACCTTCAAACTCAAACTTCATAAAACCGGCACCGGTAAGTTATTTTATGCTCATCGGTTTATACTTTATGATGTAAGGATAAATGTTGTAGTCTTAAAAAGCATAAGTTACAAACGTTAACATGTAAAAAACATCCAGTTAAAATTAATTTGAGCCTACAATAAAACAAAACTCCTCGTGATGAGCTTAAAAGTTATTGAAAAGACATTTTAAAAATATGTATCATCTTTTAAGAAATATGAGTCTACCATACACACTGAATATGAGTGTGTTAATTTGTAGTAATGAACTAAAATATTGTAAATTTCAAGTATTTTTCTTTTCCTGGTTTAACACATTAATAATTTTAAAACACCTCGAGTTAGTTTTTTATTATTTTTTTATGTTTAAACGGTTTTATAATGAACTAGTCAATATAAACGTAAACGTGTTCTTGAGACACAATAATAAAAGCTAAAGTCAGAGAGGTTAAACTTGTTTGCCAAGCGGTTACTGGGACAAACTGCTTAAATCTCCATCCACTACTGGCAAAGAGACTCGACTGTTAACTTATATTCTGACATACTTCTTGAATCTTTACCTTCAAACTGAAACTTCATAAAAACGGCACCGGTAAGTTATTTTATGCTCATCGGTATAAACCATAATTATGGTATGATGAAACCAATCGTGGCCTAATTTTGTCAACGTATTTCTACTCGACTGGGCAACAATTTGAACACTTTGCTACTAAATATGCCATCAATATGACTGGTTTACATTAAAACAATGTTTGAAAAATTTCTGTTAAGAATGGAGGGTTAAATTATTTGTTTGCATCTTAATACTGGAATTCTTAAGGCATATTACTTAAACGGTTTCATAATCTAACTTCAACTCAATTATTCTTAATATCATTGACTATACACAGAATAGTCAATGGTAATATACATTCATTACATTTGTAAGGTTATATTTTACAAATTTATGTTAGTGCTATATTTACGCCTAGCTTTAAAAATTTTTAATTTCCATGCAATTTTTTTTTATTTACAGAGTTTATAAAAGTTATTTGTTTCTGTGAATTACATGCTAGCCCTTAAAATTTTAGTAATGGGTAAGCTTTCCCTCTAGATCAGGAAATTTTCTGAGTAATCAGCTATATAGGCTACGCTAGAGTACAGGACATCTTAATCCGTCCATTTTCACATAGTGGAATTATTATAACTGCATAGTCCAACAAAATAAAAAATATATACCACTATTTTGTTTTGTGAATTAATTGCCTCAAACAGTGGAACAGTAGGACACAAATATAGTTCATCACACGAGCCAAAAGTATTTATGAGCAAGGGTCGGTTATTTTTCAACCCCGGTCGTAACGCTTGAGCTCGTGTTGAATGATCTGTTTTCTGGCCACAGTGATGATTTATATACTATTAATTATGCTTAATTAGCTGTATTTATCTAATTTTAACATATACATATACACCGTGTCCCAATACGGCTGTCCAATTCAGCTCACACTCTATGGCGCATTTCGTCAGTAATGTTAGTAAAGGCTGCATTTATTCTTTGCCTCAATTCTCGGACATCGGAAACTTCTGTCTTATAAACTTATAATTTTGACAAATTTAACTCACATGCTGCACAGCGAACAGACTTTCGAGGGTCGTGAAGAAATAATTGTTGCACGTTTTTAATCAATTTATTTTGGATTTTTAGCCTACCTTTACCTTTTAAATGTTGCAAGCTTCCAGTTAACATAAATTTGTCATACCAGGCTCGAATGCTGTTCCGTGATGGAGGACGTCGACCATAGCGTCTTCTAAATGTTCTTTGCACTGCAATATCTGACTTACTTTGAATGTACCACTCAACGCATTGCGCTTTCTCTCGTGCGTTCATGGTGCCTGCTTAATGACAGGGCAATGTTTTTTTTTAAATTTCAAGTTTCAAGCGACAACAATGAATCAGCTGATAGTTACAATTGATATTGAACAAAACTTCATGAGCTCAGTTATCATATGATCACCTTCAAAGTAGACTAGGTATGCCTGGACGCATTATATAACAATTTAAAATTGTTCAGTTTTTTTTTTTTGGGACACGGTGTATTACTGTTCCTATCACCGTAAAATAAACTAAATATCGCCTCATTACAATAACTGGAATACGATATGTTTTAATGTTTCTTAACTGAAACAGACATTCTTCAAATAATAGCCACATATTTTATTTCAAAATAACAATGCATGTTTCCTCATTAAGTCACCGAACCATTGATGAGTGATTTGTAAGCAAAACTGAATGTAGGGAGGTGGAAGGCACGGTTTGAAAGAGCTTCTATATTTTCCTTTGTTCTAACGCTGCTCTCCTGTTCTTTCAGACATTATGGACGCCGAAACAAAGATTTTCATACAGTGCGAGCGTGTTTTTGAAGTTGAGAATGTACTATAGTTTATTGTAATAACTAATATTATGTTCTTTAAAGCTTTTATTTATTTATAAATAATGCAAGCCAATTTTCACAGTAAGGTAATTTGAATAAGACATTTATGCAGTCTTTTGTTTCAAGAACTCACACAAAATAATAAGCTATGCTTAATCGTCAATGATTTGAGCAGAAGTTAAAATTACGTCATTAGATTTACACCCAAAACTAACGTGACTAATTATAAAAAAAAAAAAAAAAAAAAAAAAAAACACTTAGGTTAGACACATGAAAAAATAAAATTAAATTAGCCAATTTCAGAATGTTCATATATATTTTGTAATAGTAATGCCTTTGACTATTTCAATAGTCAATGGTAATACTATATGAATTTAAAGGATTACTTATTAATGATAAAATAGTTCAAACTAAAAATAGGCAAAATAAACAAACTATCATAAATAAAATTAACTTTACGTTAGTTAATTTATACAGAAAAGGCAATGAATATTGTGAACATTTTAAAATAGGAAGTAATGTTCTCCGCTTTCACTATAGTAAAGAAAACTACATCTTCTAAATTTATTGCACGTATAGGGTAAATAAACTGTTGACCGTGATCTATACTAACACTACCATTTATTTGGTCAATCAAAACACTTAGTATAACTTACACAAAAAATATAAAGACTATTGGTCCATTTTCACTGACCACATAAAAAATACTGATTTCAAATCACATGTAGACTATACAGGTAACTTTGGTTTCATGGGAGGAAAATCCTCTTATTTCACATACATGAACACAATTCATACAACATAGCTGGATAAAGTGGGAAGCACTGAAATACTTGACTAGGGATGAAAATTAGTAAATACAGTTTAGACTAGTTGTTAAACACAACTAAACCTATACGGTGTTATCACATACGAGAAGAAAAGCCTTAACATTATTTAACTTTGACATTGATTTGTGACTTTATCTTTAACGGGAATCGCCAAAGACAAATTTTAATAAAACAATAACAGTTAGTTAATTTAATTTTAATTTTAAGTTATTAAAAAATAAAAATTTACCATTTTTAGGCAATAAACTCAGTGAACTTATAGTACAGTTACACATATCTAGTATTGTACATATCATCCAACCTATATAAAAATTGAGAAAATCTATCAAAAAATATTAAATTTTTACAGTTCTAGCTGTAACAATTCTATTGATAACAAAACAACTCGCTATAATACCGCTATTAACCGTTCTTGATTTGTCAAGAAGGGTTAAAAGATCTTCCATTTAAATGCAAACATCATAACAGATCCTATTCAGATTGACATGCACATTATTTATGCAATCAAAAAGGAATAGTCACATAGAAGTTTAAATTAAATATTTAATAAATAGGCCTACTTATGTTTCGATCCACAGAATTGCCTTGCATTATTACCTTAGCAAACTTGTTCTCTGTTTTCTAACCAAAGTTCATTATGTTTCATTATTCCTAAAATAATTCTCTATTATGTTTTAATCTTGCATAAATATTGATGTCAAAGACAGGAAGTCTTAATTTCCCATAAGGAATCACCTTAAAATGTTCATAAGTGAAAAAGTTATACCAAAAACTAATCTTTCCTATAAAGACCGTTATAACAATAATGTTATATTCTATGCCTATACCAACTGATTATACTGTATTCCCAAAATTATCTGTCAGTTGTACACTTTGGTCTCGAACGCAGCTGAACTGATTTGTATACTTATGCAATAAACATACTTACGGAAATTGTAGTTTAAGGTGAATAGAATCAATAATCTAACAAAAATTTGCTTGAATGCAAATACCCTTTTCTGAATACGGTACCGGTAGTCTATATTGTCATTTTCAACAAAAATTCTTACTCACATAAAAATCAAGCACAGCTTGCCTACCAGCTTGAAAGAATCTTTATGGTACAGCAGCTTTCCCAAAAGTGAACTCATTTTTTATGTACATAAGAACTCAGTAATCTAGAAATAAAGTGGCACTGCTGACCATGAATGTTCTTCATCACTCAGTCACCTAAACATGAAGCAGCACTGCTTAAATGCTGCTGAACCTAGACGTAATTCATCACACAGTCATCTACCAATGAAGCAACAATGCTTGAACGTCTATCAGCACTCAGTCATCTACGAACGAATCAGCACTGCTGATCTTGAATGTTCTTCATCACTCAGTCACCTAAACATGAAGCACTGCTTGACTGCTGCTCTTAAACGAAATTCATCACTCAGTCATTTACCAATGAAGCAGCAATGCTGACCTTTTGAACGTCCTTCAGCACTCAGTCATCTACGAACGAAGCACCACTGCTGATCTTGAATGTCCTTCATCACTCAGTCACCTACACACAAAGCAGCACTGCTGATCTTGAATGTCCTTCATCACTCAGTCACCTACACACAAAGCAGCACTGCTGATCTTGAATGTCCTTCATCACTCAGTCACCTACACATGAAGCAGCACTGTTTGACTGCTGAACTTAAACGAAATTCAGCACTCAGTCACCTACACATGAAGTAGCACTGCTTTTCTGCTGCTGACCTTAAACGTAATCCAGCACTTAGAGTCATCTACGAAGGAAGCAGCATTGCTGATCTTAATTGTCCTTCAGCACTCAGTCATCTGCACTCCGAAGCAGCACTGTTTTACTGCTTCTGACCTTATTCAGCACTCAGTCATCTACGAACGAAGCAGCATTGCTGATGTCCTTCAGCACTTGGCGGCGCCTAGATGGTGTAGCAGCGCCGCTGATGTCACCGTCACCGGCGATTCAGCTCCCCCATGTAGTGCGCTAGCTCGTACCCCACGTACTCGCCGTCGTCCACGTCCTGCAGGCTAGAGTTGCTGATAGTATCACTGTTGAGCCTCAGCTTCTTGCCAATGACGTGTGGCACGGCAGGTGACCTGTAGGCTGGCTGGACACTGCGAGGACCACGGCCCACCATCACTACAGCCTCCTTGGTCGTGCAGGACATGGAGGACCGAGCCACTAGTGTTCCTGGAACTCCTGCCCTCGACAGGATGCTGTAGCTGCGAGTTTGACGGCTGCTTTTGCCACGGGAACACAACTGAGCCAGCGTCGCCTGAAATGCAATCCGATAAACATAAACTGAACATATCATGGAAACAAGCTATTTAGCCGTGGTCTAGCATTCAAGAATACAAAAAAATTGAATGTGATGATTTATGATCTTACTCGTAGTAACACTGTTACAAAATTTTCAAGAAAGCCCGGTAAGAGTGTAAAGAAGTATTTTCATCCAAGGTAAAAAACAGCTTCTTTCGTTTGGTTTGTTGCAAAAGGACATTACACTTATTTTATTCCAAACTAACGTACTTCCAGAGTCTCATTTTTGGTGGTGTACTCACAGAAAAGTGCGAATACTTTTGGTTAGAAAAAAATCAATGAGATGGTTTGGCTTACCTTGAACGCTTGGCGAAACTTGTTGCTCATCGTATGGTATAGGAAGGGGTTGACACAGGTTGAGAGGAAGTAAAGCACCCCAGACACATAGGTAAGAGCGTTGTAGACTGCGACCAGCATAGGACCGTGGTTGGTGGTGCTGCTAGCATAGACAGCCAGCAACCGTTGACAATGGAATGGCGCCCAGCATATGAAAAACGCCACCACCACCGCCACTATAACACCAGGCTTTGTATAGTAAAACACAATTCTTCTGAGGCTTTAAAACTTACGTGACACTACGTAGCCTATGTAATATATAATGATAAAGTACATAGGCTACGCCAGAGTTCAAGAGTATTCGGGTTTTGAGTTCTATTATCAGGTTGTGTCTTGAAAGTAAAGCAACAATGGTTACTTGGAGTTTTGATGGTACACAATATTTGCATGTGATTTTACATTTTCAGCTAAAGCACCACCCGATGATAACTCAGGAATGGACATTCCTTTGTTATTCCATTCATTAATATATTACCCTCTCCTCGATCTAGACACCTTGTAGTTTTGATTTAGTAGTCAATATGGTAATAATTATTTAGCACGTAAGTATGACATAAAGATTCATAACTATGTTACATGTTGGCGTGTTCTTTTATCACTATACCCAGTGTTGTTAGTGCTCTTAAGCTGTCCGTTGTGTATAAAATTAAAACGTTTTCTATTACAATATTACTGGACCCTTTAAAAGCAAATCTTAATTACTGAGTCAAAACCAATTGCCTCGTCATTACAAAATGTGTTACCTTCTTAAGAGGGCGCGTGATGATAATGAAATAATCGGTACAAGGAGTATACGACTTATTATAGTTATAGAAAATTCCAAAATATCTATCTGCATGTGTGTAGTTGATAATCTTTAAACTTGGACTTACCTAACATGCGAACAACGTGGTTGTGACCACGACTCGTCGCATATGACTGTTGCTGCTGGTTTGTGCTGCTCGGCCTCTTCAGCATACGTGATCGTCTTAGATTCAGTCCAATCAGGATATACAGGATTGTGATCAGTGTCATCGGAACCACGAAGAACAGACCGGTGGAGATGTGGAAAGCATGCTTGATGAACTCAAACTTGAGAGTGCAAATTAATTTCTCTGGGTCGTCTGTACCATTTACTTTGCCCATGCTGGCTACTCCAAACTGAATTGCCTAAAGAAGCAAAACATAAACATTGTAATCTCTGGATACTACTATTTTTTCTCTTAGAATTCTACATGCATACATTAGGCCTACTTCTCTTCCAACTATTTTTTACTAATTTTAGAAGTGTTATGATTAGTATTTTTTAAGAAGGTCTCTGATCTTGGCTCTACGCCTTTCCAATTATATATATTATGTTTTGAAATGGAGGACTTACAGCGTGAGTTATCCTTACAACTACCGGGCCACGACCTAAATTAAATAGAACATTTCCAGCCACTCCCTACAACGGTATCCTGTGTGAAGATCAATTCTAGGTAATTAATTTAAAAATTTATATACTTTTAAAAATACTCCCAACGCGGTGGTTTAGTTGATGTTTTTGTCAGAAGAATATCAAGTGTGGTAGGTAAGGGCATCACGTCGTGGAGATCTTACAACATTTAGTAAAGCGTTGCAAACAATGACTGCCTTCCATGCTAATACTTTCAATATTCCGTTTTAGTATCAGCCCTTTTGATATTTAATAAGGAAAATTTTTAAAAGTAATTTGCTTACTAGCTATTAACTAAAACTATTATTACATTAACTAAAAATCATGAAAACAAACTTATCATTTTTGAGAACAAAATTTTGAGGAAGATTTTCGGACCTATAAATGAAGAAGGTATGTGGCGAATAAAAAAACTGAGAGCTCCGAGAACTGTACAAAGAACCGGACATTGTAGCCATAGTGAAGAGTAGACGACTGAGATGGGCAGGCCACGTAGAAAGAAGGAAAGAAGAAAGTATGCTTAAGAAGATCGCCAATGGACAACCACGAGGCACTCGCCCGCTAGGAAGACCAAAGTTGAGATGGAGAGACCAAGTTCAGAAAGACCTACACAGAGTGTATCTCTTGACTTGGCGGCAGACCGGCAGCATTGGAGGCAACTTGTTGGCGAGGCCAAAAACCTTCTTATTGAGTGGCCAAGGAGTTAAGGTAAGGTAATTTGCTTATCATCAATTTTCGACTACCAATTCACCCCGTCACGGATCTACTTGTCTTTGAAACATAAATACACTGAAGTAACGTTGCAACATAAGTATCAGAGGTAAGAGTAAGACATTGCAGATGGTTGGTCTCGAACCACTAGTACAAGTGCTCACTAGTTGTTATACCTGAGGTACTGCGAGACACAAAGCCAGCACCCAGATGGCTATGATGAACTTGATGGCTCTGGACAGTTTGCTGACGGTGTATGACAGGAAGGGATGGCAGATGGCGACGTATCTCTCGACCGTGAAGGCTGTGATGGTCAGGACAGTCGCGTTCGCTGACGTCTCCTGGGCGAACGACGTCATCCGACAGAAAAACTCCCCGAACACATAAGGGTACCTGGAATAACCACAGGCTTTAGATTGTACTTGTGATGTGGAAAACTAACTAAACAAAATTAATCATTACACCTAATGATACACAATCAGACAGGATAAGCTACGCCATAGGCTAATTATATTCTAGTTATTGATGTATAGGGTGTCCCACGAAGAGGTTTAAACGTTTGACTTTATATTTCTTGCCCATTTATAGACCGATGTTTTTGAAACTTTGCATAATTTATCAAATATGTTTTAAAACTATTCTGAGAAAATTTCAGCTACCTTATCCTCGGAGAAACAAAATGGTGGCATATTGAATGTTTTGGCATATTGAATGTTTTTAATTAACTAATCATATTAAATTAATTAATTTATTATTATTTATTAACTAGTGATGGATCACGGTTTGAATAATTTTGGACTCTACTTTTGGTTTTTCATTAGGCTATGTTCTAATTTTCTGATTAAAAAGCATTATTTCCCTAGGATGTGAAATAATACAAATATTTTACAAAACCAAAAACACTATTTTAATTTGTTTAAAGTATCATTTTTTCAATATACCGCCATTTTGTTTTTACGAGGGTTAGGGAGCTGAAATTTTCCCAGGACATTTTTTAAACCTACTTTATAAATTGTGTAAAGTTTCAAAATGTTCGGAGTATAAATGGGCAAGAAATTTTAAATCAAACGTTTAAACCCCTTCGTGGGACACTCTGTATATAATTGTATACAAATTTCTACGAATACATACCAACGAAACACATAGCGATGGATTTAAGCTATCTAAACCAGCATTCATTCGAAATATTCCCTTGTAATGAGTAATAAAGATTTGCTCTTAAAAAATCTAAATCCTGCAATAAAGTCGTTGCCTTATAGCTGGTTAATTTTGTCAGGGAGTCTAATGTAAAGTTTCAGGCGCTAAACCGAAAAACTCAATTTTTTTCTTGTTAGAAGGGGGATCTCAATTTTGGACTTGCATATTGTGTTATGGAAATTCACTTTTTATCTTTGTGAACTTTTGCAGTTTAAAGTGGTTGTAACAGACATAGAAGAAAAGAATGTTGTAACTATCTATATCCGCTCCTAAGTATTTTCAACCATTTGAATTTATTACGTGTTAATGATTCATATTAATAAATGAGAAACATTATGTTTACTTGAGTTCTACCTTACGCAGTCTCGTCCTGATACAGAAGTTAAAACTCAAGACATTCAATAGTTTTTCATGAGTGCAACAGAGATGTCTTGTTCAGGTCTAATCACAACGTAACTTAGTAAATTGACAATTATTTTTGTTATGTTGTTTAATATGATCAATTTTAAAAAAGTCAATAGAAAATACACCTAGTCAATAGACATTTCGAGAGCGGAAATTACTGTTTTGCTAGTATTACACACCCGATTTTCCTACCACCATAATTAACTTATAATAACACGCAGATTAACTTTTACGTGTTTTATAAAATATAGTTGAGGTTCGTTTAGGTTATGTTTTTAGGTTAATTCTTTTGCTCTCCGGTTGTTGAGGAACGTACTGGATCCGTAGCTGTGGTTGGTGTAGAAACGACAACTGTGAAATCAGCTGATTAGCGAGCGGGAATGATACTCTAGAGATATTTCGCATACTGTTTACAGGTATGGCAATTTGATCATTTACAAACAGGGGCAGGAAAAATAATAAACAGAACCTTTTAAAGCAAGGTTTGGTAAAGATAAAATTAAAAAAATCCGTATATGACATTGCTTTTGGAAGCTATAGAAATCTTAAAATAATACTGAAATACCAATTAAAAATTGTTTACAAGGATGTTAGTGTACAGGGATATTACGAGAATAATAACTGTCCTTTGCATATATAAAACCTCTGATTTACAACACATTTTTCCATTGGGCTATAAACTCAGTATATAAATCAGCTGGCGTAATGCTAGGGTCTAGTTTAACAGGCTTTGCTGCAATAACTACCGTGCCATGGAACAAGTTGTGTTTATTGCTCCACAAGCCGTCCCACACAATACTTTTGGCTGAAAATATTGAGAAATATTTTAAGAACTAATTGCAATATAGTGACATATTTTTATAATTATTATAAAGCTTTTGTAAAACAATTAAAATATCGTTAGATTAAAATGTCAACTAACATTGTAAAGGTAACATTATGGTTATCAATGTATCACTAAATTTACTAAAAAAATAATGTTGCGACAAATTAATTTATTGTATGTTTCCTTAATTATTTATAACCAAAGAATAGTATATTTCGTACCTAGGGCCGAAAATTAGATTTTGCAAAACTATTTCGTTCCGTGGTACGAACGCCATTTTTCACACTACCCTATTACCACTATTCACTACAAAAATAATGCTCACTGATAGTCAACACAACTACAACTTTAAGGTTATGTCAAGAAATAATTTGAGGAATCAGCAAAAGTAATAATAAATAGTTTGCTAGCAGTGTTGACAGTAAAACAATTAATTCTATTGCAACGCTATGGATACTGGTTGTGTATTTAAAATGAATTAATAATCAGTAAGCGGGCAGCTGATTTTGCGGCCCTAGGGACGGTGGGGCATACGGAAGATTTCTCAGGTGCCGTTTGACGTCACTAACTGCTGACGTCACAAACTGCAACGTCTGAAGAAACAGACAATTTTATAATTTTTCTATTATTAAATTAAACTGCCATAACCTAACCAAACTAACTAAACGTGCTAATAATGGCAAAATCGAATAAAGGTTTACTAATCTAAAAAATAGTTTTGTTCATAAAATAAAATTATAAATGCCTAAAATTCAATTTTATAATTTTTTAATTATAAAATTAAACTGTCATAACCTAACCTAACTTGCTGATATGAAAAAAAATTGTTGACAAAAAGTTAGTGCTACCAGCGGGATTCGCACCCAGTATATTCGGATTATCAGCCCGACACGCTATCCACTACACCACCGAGGCCGGTGGCTCCCAATCGCATCGTTGCGCTAATGGTGTTCCCTCAAAGTGACGTCAGCAGTTAGTGACGTCAAACGGCGCCTGAGAAATCTTCCTTCTGCCGTTTTGCCCTAGGGATGTAAAACCTCCTCGGTCCCCAAATGACGATGACAGCTGTCATGACCAGCAAAATGTAACTTTCAACCACCAATTAACGTACCAAAACAGCTAAAAACATCATAATGTGGTGAAAAAGACATTACAGATTCATTTGCTATGCAATAAGATACCAATCTTCCACAAAATTGTTCTTAAAAGATAAGCAAGAGGGGGAATATGAATACTAAGACACTGACTAGCTCAAGTCGTTTAAGTCAGGTATTTTTAGCGAATTTCCCTATGGGGAATAAGCTACTACCGTAGGTCTCATGGTAAGACTTAGTCCCGGGACCGATTTACTTTTTCATTTTGATGTTCCTAGAAGCCAAAAACACCATCCGTTCAAATTCATATATATATATATATATATATATATATATATATATATATATGTGTGTCCGTCAGCACGATAACTCGAGCAAAAATGATCAGATTTTGATGAAATTTAGTACAAACGTGTAAACCTACGTTTATTCGAACGAGTTCGCGAGCCAGCATGATCGGACAATGGGAACGGGGTTTTATGGGGGGATTTATGGGGTAAAAATTGGTTTTTCTCATTTTTGACCCTCAAAACATAAAATTTCCCAAATTTCTTCTAAACCATTTTGAAGAGCTTAAAAAACAAATAATTCAGTATATTGAAGTGTTTTTGTATGGTTATTGGTTACGGAGAAAATTATAAATTAAAAATTTCCATGTTATTCTTAAGGAGAATAAGTAAAATTTTGTAGTTTGCTTGTTTATGCATATATTTGGATCAAACTTGGCCAATCGATTTATTTTATACTAAGCTGTTAATATTTTACTGAAAAATACACTTTATTACCCTGTAGGCAACAAACCTAGGTACTCGTTAAACCTAATGTTATTTGAATAGATTTAATTGAAAATCAAATCAGGCAAATGGAAATTCGCTTAGTCTGCAGGTTTGCTGCGGCGGGGGTATTTTTTAACTGTGTCAGTGTTTCACATTTAACATGATAAACTTGTTTATGAAGGTCAATTACAACGCAGTAGAATAGTTTTAAATAGGGAATGGAAGAATATTACTATTTAATGAAAATCTTGAGAATCCGTGAACACATAAGATGGTCTGACACTATTGGAAGTATTCGTAGTCCAGCCAAGAAGACACGCATAGCTTAATTACTTTACCAGCCAATTAAAGTATGTTTTTCGAGTGAGCTTTCGGTCTATTGCCTCTCATTTCTAAATTTTTGCGATTAAAAACTGCATCTTTTACATATACGTATCCTTAATCCCGCAATTCTTTAAATCACACAAATATGTTTTTGAACTGTACAGTGATTACTTGTAATATTCACTCTATACGTGTCGATAACTATTCTCTCACCTGTACCAAATCTGATACATCTCCTGAGGTAGGCCAGTCAGCAGCAGCAATAGGTCCGAGATGGCCAGGCTGAACAGGTAGTAGTTGGTGGCCGTGTGCATATGCTTGTTGCGAGCGATGACGACACAGGTGCTGATGTTCCCGACCACGCCACTCACCAGGATCACGGCGTACAGACATGTCATGGGGACGACGACGAAGAGAGGGTCGCGTTGAGAGATGTAGACTACCCCTGGGTCTTCGCCCCATGGTGACGTCTGGTTAGTGACGTCCTCCCACCAGCTGACACTACTGTTGCTCTCAGTCCAGTTGTTCATGACTCACATTTCTGATCCATCATTGGTCCAGATTACTTGACTCTCGGTGCTCATCTCATTGAATTGTATGAGAGTGCAAAGATGTATTGTGTGTTGCTGTGTGTGTTGGAATCTTCATCTCTGAAAAAGACAATAAACGAGTATGATGTATTGTATTTAAAGAAATGCATCTTACAGTACTATTACGGAGATTTTGTTGACAAATTCTACCCAAACGATTTAAAAATAGAATGAAGTGTGTGTTCTAAGGGTCATATCCATTATGGAAATTTACGGAAAGTAAATAAAAGACCCTGGAAGAAAAGAAGTAAATAGAAGAATGAATCATTCACCTATTGGGTCTGATGATGATTGGAGTGTCCAATCGAAATCGATCACCCCTTACCATCTGTTTTGTATATTTACCGTCTTGTGAGTAACAGTATAAGCGTAAATATATGTTTTAAGTGTTATAAGACGTTTCTTTTATTTACTTTCCGTAAATTTAATAATACGTACAATGCTGATCAAGAAGTTATTATGGAAATGTAAAGGGTTAAGTCTAATTTTTACAAATAAATTGATTTCGTAATTCTTTAACTTAACTATTCAGATGAGATTTTTCAAGTCATTGATTTAGTTCCAATGAAACACACTCATATTCTGTCTGTCTCAAACATTATTAGAACTAGTCTGAAAAAGAGAAAAATGTTTACTACTTTACTAACAGGATCTTTTAGTTAGTAGTGTCAACGTTAATGCCGGAATATTAACAAATTTGCAACGAAAAAAATAAAAGAGTGAAGAACAAGTGACCGTTGCCGATAAGGTTTTATGGTTAGGAGGCATATGCTTTGAATGAGAGTGGCACAGCTGCGGGTAGGCCTATATTGACAAATACCGGGGAGCCTATTCAATGTAGTAGCATTCAAAAGATTTCAATTTTCAACCTCATACATCGATATAGGTTATACTACTGAGTTGTATATGGTTATCCACCCATTAGTTTTATACCCATTGTATGGATTGTTGTTGTTTCCAAAAATCCATAATTCTATAAATATTTTAGCACGAAATGTAAATATATTTATAATTTTGTTGACAAACGGCTTCACGTTCCTCAAGACATTCTACTTTAATGGTTTTTTGTAGCCCAAGGAATATAAAAGTATTTTTTCTCAAATAAAAAAATGACACTCCTAAATTAACTTATATTAATTCATGATGGAATAGTTTATCTATTACTGTCTCAAGGGAGTTTTGTACCCTCATAATCGTAATGTAAATTTATGTATGGATGAAAAATCAGTAAACGGCAAATGGCATAAGGAAAATGTATCGTCAGAAGAAATGTGTGAACTCTATTTCCCTTGGATATTCTATGAATAATGTAGCGGTTGGATAAGGTAAGGTAGCTTACCAGTCTCGGTCCAAAGTAAATACTCTAAAACCCAGGTAAAGAATAGTTGCCGGTAGTTGGTTGCACAAGATTGCAAGAGGCAAATAACCTTGCTATTGTAACCGTGGTTTCTTATTATGGTAGCGTTATTGATAACTGTAGAGTGTAAGTAATACTGACATTGCTTTCAACCGAAGAAAAACAAATTCAGTTTGTAATAAAATACGTACTTACAACTGTACAGTATGGTTGTTTTAATTATAAAAGTGCTCACATAAACACAGTTAGTCGTGAAGATTGTACATAATATGATTTAGCAGCTTTTAGGTTGGTCTATTACCTTTTTGCAAGAAATGTTACCTTAACATTCGTATATTGTGATAAACGTATAGTCTCAATATCGATTATCACAATAACAACTTTCCATATTTGGATTCAAATATAATACGATTAAGAGAAAAAAACTTCGTTCTAAGCAGTGTGAGAATGAAAAGCATATTATATAGTCTTTAATAAGTCAACAGCTTTAAACAACGAATAATCTATTATAATTTAATTAATTATGTAGATCTGTAAATGATCATCTGAAAATAAAAATATAGAATAACAAATCAGTTTCAAATTGTATCAGTTAATTTTTAAAAATAATTAAATTTTATCTAAATATTACCGTGGAAAACGATACTATTTGCCGTGGGTTTACCTTACTTCACAAACCTTAGTATAATTCTCTTGCGTCTAGCGGATGAACCCAGAATTAAGGTTTGGAGGAAATGAGGATCTCGCTGATAAAGAGATAGACAAGAAATTAATTGGATATTATACTCTTAAGCAGCAGTAAGCATTTCAAAGAGACGAAGATTTTATATTTGAAAACCCTCTTATAAGGTTGGCTAGTTGAAAAATCCAGGTCGATGAATTTTAAGGACAACGGTCTTTAATTAGATTAAATTAATTGCTAATGAAACTACAGAGGGTTGAACTAGTTAAGCCAATCTAAAGAAGTCTTTAGAGTAAAATAATATTCAGGTTTAGTAAAATTTAATACTTCAATATTATTTGCATATTAATTACCATGATAATTAAATAGCTTCAACACTTTTAGTTTAAACCGGCAGAACGTCGTGTCACATTGACTTTTTTTTGCTAGTATTCCATTAGAATGTGCCTAATGGTGCAAAAACTTCAATTAAGTAAGTTCCTAACTTATTACCAATATATCCGTCATAACGTTTACATATTATGTATTGTCAATATAATATACATTTTTAATTGCAAATTTATGTCTGTGATTTTAATTGTTATTCAAAACGCCTTTAGTTTGGATTGCGTTACTTTTAAAGGGCATATATGTTGGTTTACTTTCTATGATATGTGTTTAATCTTCATTCTAAAATTTTGAAGACAAAAATTACCCAGAAATCCTTAGTAAAGATAAAATTGAAACATGTTTTCCCCTAAATGATGTCAATACAAAGACCGATTAAAAAGGTTGATCTTCTGGATCAACAACCAATACAAGGCAAAGACTATTAAACAAAGAGTGATAACTTACAAGGCTTATAGCTTCATGCATGTGAAATGTAGTCTTTGGAAGTTAGCCTCTCGTTGCCTTACAGTCTCATTATTTGTTATCCATTTGTAAATACCATCGTATATACCAAGGCAAAAATGTGATTCGGATTCCACTATAAACTGTAGGTCCCTTAGTTGCCATTAGCTGTATGGGCTATTAATTAACAGCTGTGTCTAAGGAATAAGTCGGCCTTAACTAACAAGACTACAAGATCGCGCCACTCATCCTACACTCATCTCCATTCATACTTGGCTTTTAATACCAACTTTGTATGGTCGCCATTACATTGAAAAGTATAAAAGTATTAAAGGCTGATTCATTTAAAAATAAATAATCTACCCTAATCTACTACGTGGAGTTTACAAATTGTACACGCATTTTTTACAACACGTAAGCCTATTACTGTACTTAACAGTATGAATTTAAAAATATATTTTTTTTATTTTATGTTATTTTCTACCGTTTGGAGCAGATTTTCAACGCTGTAATAGTCGAAGGGAATCAGATGATTTACTGGATGAAAGTTGAGGTTATTATCATACAGTTCAGAGAGTTACAAACTGTGACAGCTGTTGAAATGTGTTCGTAGCATCAACAAAACCTACCAGTTTGCTTCAAGACATTGCAAAACAATTATGACATGCTACCTGTGCGTTTATCCTTCTGTTTATAGTACCCATAGTTCGAACCAACTTCATAAATATTTGCTGTTATGGTTCTAGTTGTTTGTGTTTATGGAAAATTACACGAATTCCACCAGTGGCCAGATGCTTGTTGGCTATAAATTGAAAAAGATAGAAGGTAAAACAAGAAGAAAGGACTAGGAGCTAACGCTAAAGTAGTTTGGTAAACAGAATGTGGTTTGGCATCTTTTACTAGGAATTTAGTAAATCGAAATATCAAATAAAACAGAATAAGTGATCTAACAAAATAATTTTTTTTTTGTGAAGTTTACATCCGTTAAGTGTCAATTTATGTCGTTATTACAATCCAGCCTGGGGCAACGATTCTAATACGGTAATCTAGGTTTTTCATTGAAACTGTTCGATTATTTTTAGATGGTAAACTTATACAACTTAATAATATTAGTACGTTTTAAAGTTTCACTCAATCTATTATTGGCAGAATATCATTACAAAATTAACATACTTATTTTATTCGTGTACATACTAGTTTGTTATGCAAATGTTAATTAAGGCAGTTGATGTATTTGATATACTGTAGTCATATTAGTAGCCTAATTTAAAAATATTGTTAACATTTAATTTCTTTAACATTTTTACATTATTCAATAAATAATTTTAAAACGCATTCTCAACACAAAGGCATATTTTCTCCATATACGTGTAGCCTACAGCGTTAAAAATATTATTTAGCTTTTAAGAAATTCTTAAAAATTTCGATAAATTATTTTATTTTTGTACAGCCTTATCTAATGTAGCCCAAATAGTACACCCTAAAATGATATACCTATATAGTTGTTTCTTGTTGTTTTTTTAGGAATTATTTATTGACTACAAGACAATAATAACGTAAAATCTATATAAATTTACAGAGAGGATATTAGTTAATATATTTATAAAAAAATGAGATAGTGTAATCACTAATCAGGTACTTTGTTTTTTGCATTTTTGAAACGAAATGAGTTTTCTAAATAGATTTTCATTTTATATACCTGAAACAAAAATGTTTGGTGTATGTATACGTAGATATTGGCATGCATTTTCTGTTATTTCCCAATATGTGTCGTTATTACCTTTCTAAAATACGTGTGGAACTTGGATTTTGTTTTGAAGCCCTCGATTTTGTTATTACAGTTAATTCCATGCTTAGCCTACAATCACTTCATACAAAATACCAATTTCATTTCAGATGTAATCAAATGTTTCATACATGTAATCAAAACTTACAGTGTAGCGAGACAAACAAATGAATGTGATTTATGAAGAGGGATTTATAAATGTAAATTAAACGTGTTTTGAAATCATTAGCATTTTTATTACAATGGAAATAAAATTAAAT